GGGCCTGCGGGCACCAGCCAGAGGATGTGTGTGCTTATGTGGAAAGACTGACAGATCTCACAACTCTTCTCCACAGTCCACCATGGAGAACACCACCACCTGTATTTACCAGCAGAGGCAAGACTTCCGTCGTCTTTTCATTTTCGTTTCATGGACTTTTCCAGTCACTTTCTCCTCCTACTGTAAATCCTCAGGCTGGCATTATCCTTTTTACTCTCATATTGGTGCCTTCTGCTTGTCAGCCCCACAGCCAGCCGCTTTGGGTTATTGTTTAGATGCTACATGAACTTTAAAGGAAATTGCTATGTACGTTTCTGTCTTTTAGTTTGAAACCAAACACTTCATTTCCTCCTTCCTTCCTTTCTCCCTCTTCCTTCCTTCCACCACTGTCACCTAACTCCTATTCATCCTTACAGGTCATCTCCTCAGGGAGCCTTCCTGGGCCTAGCAAGCTCGGTTAGCAGGAGGGTAACCTCATGGCATTTGCGTTTCCATCTAGTACTCAGATGACACCAGTGTAGCCTGGGTTACTCTGCATGCGGTTTCCTAAGTGAATGGTAAGAGCAATAACAATAGCTACGCTTAATGAGTACCTGCCACGTGCCAGGGATTATTCTAAATGTCTTAGATACACCTTGTCACATTATCAAAGCAACCCCACTGAGGGCAGGTTCCTTATCATACCCATTTTATAGATGAGAAAGCAAGGCTCAGAAAGATTAGGTACTGTCTCCAAGGTCACACAACTGGTATGTGGCAGAATCAGGGCCTGAGCCCAGACAGTGGCTAGAGCCCATGTTCTTAACTACTGCACTGTGCTATCTCTACATTTGGGGCACTATTTATGTTCTAAGGGCTTTGTTAACTCATTTAATCCTCACAGAAAACCTGTGAAGAGTAGGCCCTGATGTTTTCCTCTGTGCACAGTGATGTTGAGTTATTTTCCCAGGATCGCACTAAGGGTCCAGGGGAGATTTGAACCAAGGTTCCTCTGGCTCCAGAGTCCACGCTCTAACCCTCTATGTTACACCACTTGTATTTGCAGTCTTGATTTTCAGTCTAATAGATGTCTCTTCCTCCTGCTAGACCAAAAACTCCTCAAGAACAGCACCTTTCTCCCATTGCCTGGTACTGGGGCGGCCTTACTGTGACTACTCAGTAAACATGTTGCATGAATGAGTGACTGAGGTAGTAAAGTGGGTTAGGTGCCTGTATTAAATGAATGAATCTAGTTGAGGGAACCCTTTAATCTGCCGAAAGTGAGGAAAAGAAGGAACAGAGAGTTTCCTCATTTAAAAAATGATATAATAAACATTTTGATCCATCATTAAAATTTCCTCACAGTCCAAGGAAAAGATGGATGAAAGAGAAGCTAGAGAAAGAAAAAGGTGAAGTGCTCATATGAGCTCCGATTCCTCCTCCCTTTTATGTGAGTTTGGAAATGCTGATAGCGTCAAAGCCTCCCATCACTCCACACTCATTAGGAATTTAGAAAATGAACCATTTAATGAAGGTCAGAGGTAGGCACAGAAGGTTTACAGTCTTCGCAAGTTAAACCACACCAAACCCATTGCCATCGATTCCGACTGTAGTGACCCTATAGGACAGAGTAGAACAGCCCTATAGGGTTTCCAAGGCTGTAAATCCTCATGGACGAATTGACACAGTGCCTGCAACAATGGGCTCAAGCATAACAACAATTGTGAGGATGACACGGGACTGGGCAGTGTTTCTGTTGTACATAGGCTTGCTATGAGTCAGAACCAACTCGATGGCACCTATCAACAACAATAAAACAACGAATTCTTATGGAAGCAGACTGCCATATCATTCTCCTGTGGAGCAGATGATGGGTTCAAACCACTGACCTCTTGGTTAGCGGCTGAGCACTTAACCACTGCACCACCAGGGCCCCTTCTTTGCAAGTTAGAAAAAACCATTGCCAGTTCTGACTCATAGCGACCTTATACCAAAACCAAAAAAAAAACCCATTACCATCGAGTTGATTCCAACTCATAGCGACCCTATAGGACAGGGTAAAACTGCCCGATAGGGTTTCCAAGGATCCGCTGGTGGATTCAAACTGCCAACCTTTTGATTAGCAGCCGAACTCAAGTTAGTGACTGAGAAAATCGAAACCAGCTGTCTGTGTTTATGGTGCCATCTGGTGACAGTAGGTGATATTACAACTTCAGTTCTAGTGTGGATCGAAGTCATCTTGCAAAATGCATTTCCTGTTGAGTCACTGAAGTCCCATTTCGTAATTGTTTCTCTACTGACTTCATGCTTTAATCAAATTACTAGTCATTGTTTTCTATTCGTTCTGTTCAAAATTTCAATCCTGCTTTATATTTGGAGAGCCACGTTCAATTTGGAGCTCCAAACAGCTCATACTGGGACAAAAGCAAACATATTATGCTGTGTGGGAAGCAGGTGCCCACCCTCTCTCAGGGGAGAGAACATGGTTCCGAGTCAGTTCAGCGGGAGAGGCTGTGGTCTGGGTGAGGGCTAGGGAGAGGCAGGGTCCGTGTTCCTTTTGCCCTCTATACTTGTTACGTCTGCCTTGTTCAAAATTTGCTGAATGATGGGAGGTTCAGGGAAATTAGGTGACATCCTAAGCTTGGACCCTCAAGGGCAAGTTTATTTTGCCATGACTTGCATCAGGGGCTATATTTAGCTATAAACATGAACAGTCACTCTAACTCATGACTTTCCCCACTCTAGAATGGCAAAGTTTTTGTTCTAATTTCCTGCAGGACAACGAAGCTGAGCTGGCCCTTAACCACTCCTCTAATCCAGATCTCTGCTTTCCACTGGGTGCTGACAACAAGCAGTTGTTTGTCTCCTTCTTAAAATTCCCCACAAAGGAAAATTCTGCTTCTCTCTTGTTCCACCGTTGGATCTGATTTTTCACTGGCAAGCCCTACACTAAATTTTTCATAGACTCATTCCGTAAAAAATGTTTTTTGATGATAGATTTACTTATTTTAATCTTCGTATTTAAGAAGATAATTATTTTAAACTCTAGCATCTTTAAAAACTTGAATTTTATTTAATATCTGGACTTCTGTAGGGTTCTTGGTACTATTCAGCTTACCTGTGACTCAGGGTGTTTCTTAATCTTTTAAAACCAAAGTCCTCCTTTGTTAAGCATAAAGTCTCTTTATTCCTTTCTCTCTGATAACTTTTGCTGTCCCCTCCTCCCCCTACTGCCCAGACATATCCCCAGTTATGATTTGGTGGCTTTTCTGTGTGTCTCTACCAGCTAAGTTTTTTTTAAAAGCTTTGTTGAGATATAACTCACATAGCTTACAATTCACCCATTTGAAGTGTGCGGTTCGTTGGGTTTTGGTATAGTTATAGATTTATACACCATCACCACAATTTTAGAACATTTTCATCACCTCAAAAAGAAACCCCATACCCTTGAGCTATCATCCCCAACCCGCCACTTCCCCAGAGCCCCCAGTCCTGAGAATTACTAACCTCCTTTTCTGTCTCTGTGGATTTGCCCATTGTGGGCATTTCATATAAATAGAATCATGTAATAGGTGGTCTTTTGTGATTGGTTTCTTTCACTCAGCATGTTTTCAAGGTTCATCCATGTTGTAGCATGTATCGGTGTTTCATTCCTTTTTAGGACAGGATAATATTCCATTGTATGGTTATACCACAGTATGTTTATTCATTCGTCAGTTGGTGGGCGTTTGAGGGCTGTTTCCACCTTTTGGTTAGTATGAGTAATGCTGCTGTAAACATTCATTGTTTGTGTTTTTGTGTGGACGTAATTATTTTCCTTTTTCTTGGGTATACACATAGGGGTGGAATTGCTGGGTCATATGATAACTGTGTTTAATTGTTTGAGGCACTGCCAGACTGTTTTCCAAAGCAGCTGCACATTTTACAGTCCGAGCAGGTGTGTATTAGAGTTCTGGTTTCTCCATGTCTTCACCACCACTTTGTGATTCTAGCCATCCTAGTGGGTGTGAAGTGACATCTCATTGTGGTTTTGATTTGCATTTCCCTGACAACTAATGAGGAGCCCTAGTGGCACAGTGGTTAAAGAGCTCAGCCGCTAACCAAAGGGTCGAATTCAACAGCTGCTCCTTGGAAAGCCTACAGGGCAGTTCTACTCTGTCCTATAGGGTCACTATGAGTCGGAATCGACTCAATGGCAACGGAATGACTAATGATGTTCAGCATCTCTTCTTGTACTTATTGGCCATTTGTTTATCTTCCTTGAAGAAATGTCTATTCAGATCCTTTGCCCATTTTTATGTTGGGTTATTTGTCCTTTTATTGTTGAGTTGTAAGTGTTCTTTATATATTTTAGATACAAGCCCCTTATCAGATTTATGATTTGCAAATATTTTCTGCCCATCTATGGATTATCTTTTCATTTTCTTGATAGTGTCCTTTGAAATACAAGTTTCTACTTTTGATGAGATCCAGTTTATCTGTTTTTTCTCTTATAAGAATGTTTGTTTTCTATAGGACATACTATGAGAATATTAAATATATTTTCATCCTCCAAATGTAAATTATAATATTGAAAATATGACATTTAAAAAATGTACCATTCCCCAAGAACCCTTGATGGGGTGGAGTTGGCACTCCCCTCAAGAACCTTGACTTAATGGTTTTCACCCCAGTGCTGCTTTTCATGGACACATTGATCACTTTGTATTATTCTTCAATTATTTGCTTGCTCCTAATTGGAGAGTTCTGAACTTAACAGGGAATTTAAAATAAAATCCTAACCAATATTAAATAGGAGCCGAGAGGTGAAGTTTTGTAGACCTTATTGATGCTGTCATCTTCAGTATATGAAAATGTAAAAATAACCTCATATAGTCGTTTCAGCATATTCTGCCTGTCATCCAAAGATTGTTGTATGTTCTGCTGATGCAGAGCAAGTCTTCAAATTGAACGGTCACATTAAATGTGATAATGAAAGGTGATAGCTTTCATATGGTTCTTCTTTCTTCCTTCTCCAACAGGTATGGCAGATCCCAGAAAACGGACTTACCCTTTCCCTGACGGAACCTGTGGTGATTTTAGAAGGCCACTCGAAGAGGGTGGGCATCGTGGCCTGGCATCCGACTGCTCGCAACGTGCTTCTCAGCGCAGGTAGGAGCTGAGTCTGCTGCCACGGGTGGTCCTCGCCTTTCCCGTTGCCCTCACTTCTCCCAGCCCTGTGTGTGGAAGGGAGCAGAAGATACATTTTGATCGTGACCCTTTAAGCTCTGTGTGCTGTACAGTGCTTGAAACAGGTCATTAGAAACCATAATGAGGTGCAGTGGTTCCCCAGCCTGAGCGTGTGCACCTGTGTGTGTGCGTGTTTTACAAGCCACTTGACGATCCAGCGAAACTGGACTTCCCCTGCTTAGAAAAATGCACAGATACATAGTTTTTTCCTGTAATTTCAGCAGGCTGGTAGTTCTTTCTGGGACCCTCCATGTCCATAGTTTTGGTAATTCCTGACGTAGTAGAAGGGACACTTGGTGGTTGGGAGCCAGGAGCCTTGGGTTCCAGACCTGTTGTTGCTGCCAACTCTGAGGTGATCCTTGTTAGGCAAATGTCTTCCTTCCTTTTAATAAAATAGTTTCATTTATCTCCTTATACAAGTTATCCATTACCATTGAGTCGACTCCAGCCCATAGCAACCCTATAGGATAAGGGTAGAACTGCCCCATAGGGTTTCCAAGGAGCAGCTGGTGGATTCGAACTGCTGAGCTTTTGGTTAGCAGCCAAGCTCTTAACCACTGTGCCACCAGGGCTCCTTCTTATACAAGTAGTGCATGTATATTATAGAAAATACATATAAAGAAAAGGAATAAATTAAAATTAGTTGTAATCCCACTGCCCAGAGGGAACATCACTATTACCATTTTGATGTTTCTTTCTAGAAGATATTTGTAGACATAAATTTTTTTACACGCACAGATGGATACATACACTTTACACTGACCTGTTTTCTGCACTTAGTGGTAGACTGGGATCCTTTTCACGGGCCGCTAAATGTTCTTCCTACAATATTTTTAATGACTCTATAGTAGTTGATTGCCTGGTTAAACCTCAGTTTATTTAATCAGTACTCTATTTTTGGGCATTGAGATGGTTTCTAATTTTTTGCTGTTATAAACAACAGTGCTACAGTGAACCCTTGTGGTGAAGTCCTGGTGTTCTTACTGGTTTCCCACTTCAGTGTTTTTCCAATTTTTATCTCATAGCAACCTTTCCTCTGTCTAAAATTTAAGATGTTATCTTCTTTTATAAAATCAGTACAAGGAGCACCAGGGAGCTTTGTGGGGTGATGGAAATGTTCTATATCTTGGTTGTGGTGGTGGTTACATTATTGTACATGTTTGTCAAAACTTACTGAATGTATATTCAAAATGGGTACATTGTATTGTATGCAAATTATACATTAAAAACAGTTGATTTATTTTTTAAAAAGCATTGCTAATGTTAGTGGTAGAATTTTTAAAGATCTTTCCCCTCACACTGGAGCCCTGGTGGCACAGTGGTTCAGAGCTCAGCCTCTTAACCAAAAAGTTAACAATTCAAATCTACCAGCTGCTCCTTGGCAATTCTATGGGGCGATTCTACTCTGTCTTAGGATTGCTATGAGTCAGAATCAACTCTATGGCAGTGGGCTCTGGGCTTCCCCTCACTAGTAAAAGGAGGGAGGGGGAGCAGTTCAGTTTTTGACTGGGAATAGAGGATATTTTATGATTTATAGTGCATTAGATAAAAAATAAATGCCAGGTACCTAATGAAGCCAAGGACTACTTTTCAAAAACGATACTGCACGTTTGTGTTTTTTTTAAATCACCATACCTAGGAACCCTTCCTAGGTTTTTCCCAGAACCTCAGTCTGATAAGGAGAGAGAAAATTCCAGAGGTAGAATTCCCTCATGGAAAATTTCCTGCCACCCTTCTCATCTAGGTTAAACATAGGTATCATCAGCACACTGATCCTCATTCTGCCTTTTACAAGCAAAGGAGAATGGTTGATTGCAGTGCTGTGCATATTTTAAGATTATATGATCCAGCCACCATGGCTGAAGTGACCTATTTGCCTGTGATGACCAAGGCAGAGGAAGAGTCAATCCTCCATCCCAGAGTTTAGCTTCAACTTTTCATACTGTAATGCAATTTCTTCTCCAGCTTCCTACTTCCAACCCTTAGGTACTTAGGTGTCCTGAGTGTGGGTGGCTAATTTTTCTAAAGAGCTTACAAAATGGCCTTATTGGCAAGAATTCACCCCCAGAATGCCCTTCTTTTATTGTGCTTCATCCTTAAACTACTGTCCTGGAAGCAGCAAAAGATGCCTCTTTTTAAGGGAACCTGGAGGCTTGGGTGCAAACGATTAGTACGCTCGCTGCTAACCAGAAGGTTGACACTTCGAGTCCACCCAGAGACACCTGGAAAGAAAGGCCTGGCGATCTACTTCCGAAAAATCAGCCATTAAAAACACTATGGAGCGCAGTTCTCCTCTGACACACGTGGGGCTGCCATGAGTCAGAATCGACTTGACAGCAACTAGTTTGGGTTTTTGCTTTGGAGGCTTGGGGCAGACCCTTGAAGAAAGGAAGGGTAGAGTTGATGACCTGAGTGGTTGTAGCTAAGCTGACGTTGTGGGCCTCCCGGCGATCAGTTTCTGAATCTGTTTGCCTGCTTGATTCCAGCTAGGGGTTCTTACCATGAACAGGCCAGTCCTGGCCTGTTTTTCTTCCCTTTTAAAGATAATGATCTGTTGTGAGTGAATTTTTAGGCCAGTCGCTGTGTTTCCCTTCCACTTATTGTAATTTACCACACTTGAATTTAAAACCATGTTTTACAGTATTACTAATTTGAATAACCTGCCATGCAAAGTTTTTGTTTAGCAGCCTAAACAGTTACTTAAGCTCTTTGTTTTTAGTTCCACTTGAAAAGAAATAAGCTGTATTCATTCTGATGCTTGTTTTACTAGACAGTGAAACTTGTGATCACGCAGGGTTCACCCAGCCCACTGAACTCTTTAGAAAAAAAAATTGCATTGTACTTTGGTGTAGTTCTTTGTTTCTGTTTGTATGTTTGTTTTATGTGAACGCAGATGTAACAAACTATATTTTCCCTTTAACACTTTTCATATCTTTTACAGAAATCTCTTTTTGCTTTGTCACTTTAGTTTTTAAAACCCACTAGGTGGGTGCCTCTTATAATCAGTACCTCCCTTTATCTTTCTCTCTTTCTCTCTATAGACACACACACACAGGGTCATGTGCCACATAGTGTCTGTTCAGGCAACATCCAACCGCATACTTCCATGTCCCATAAGGTTATAATAGAGTTCAGAAATCCTGATCGGAGAATGGGAGGTAGCAGATGTAGTGAATGGAACAGCTTCCCTCACGCAACATGTATATCGTGTCTCTCGTATACAAAGCGATCGTACTGCCAGGTGTAATGGTACAGTACATGTATAAGCTATAATACGTATGTCTTGATAGCCATAATAAATGCCTATGTTACTGGCTTATGTGTGTATTGTACTGTACTTTCTATCATTATTTTAATGCAAACCTCCCCTACTTAGAAATAAAAGGTTTGTAGCATAACAGTGTATGCTTTGATTCGTAGGCAGCAGCGTCCAATCTTGTGTATCATGTGTCTCTTGAGTGTTGTGGCATTATCTCGCTGTTTAATTTTCCTTTGAAAATATTATCGTGAAGTGCATCATGGCTCCCAAACGCAGCAAAACCAGTGCTAGTGATAGCAGCAGCAAGAGGCAAAGAAGTATAGATTTGGGAGCGAAACAAAAGATTATTAAACAACATGATGATGATGGTGGAAAGTCAGTGAATGCTATTGCTTGCAATTTAGGCATGTTTGTACAATGTCCAAATCACGTAACGTCCTGTTTCACAGAATGTATCAAGGACATTAAGCGATGCATGACTATATAGCTATACACATACATACATGTTGTTCCTGTTGTGTGCTATGAAGTCGATTCCAACTCATAGCAACCCTATAGGACAGAGTAGAACTGCCCCATAGGGTTTGCTAGGCTGAAATCTTTATGGGAGCAGATCGCCGGATCTTTTTTCCCATGGAGCAGCTGGTGGGTTCAAACTGCCGACCTTTTGGTTAGCAGCCAAGTGCTTAACCATGCACCACGAGGGTTCCTTCATACATACATATGTATCCTCCATTTGTAGTTTTCTGAGGCGTATTGTTACACAGGTGCTTCTAATCTTTAAAGGGAGTGGTTTTGCTTGTTTTTAGGCTGTGATAATGCAATCATCATCTGGAACGTGGGGACTGGGGAAGCCCTGATAAACTTGGATGATATGCACTCAGACATGATTTACAATGTCAGCTGGAACCGAAACGGCAGTCTGATCTGCACGGCTTCCAAAGACAAGAAAGTGAGAGTCATCGATCCTAGGAAGCAGGAGATTGTTGCTGTAAGTATTCTTAGGACAAAAAGCCCAGTATTTGTAGCACACCACTGAATGTGACCCTTCTGCTTTGTAAGGCATACCTCAGAGACTGCGCTTCTGGTTGGCAGACCCTTGCTGTGTGCAATCACTAAACTGAAAAGGGAAAGGCTTGTTCATGCTTCTGACTTTCTCCCCAGTCACACTTCTCTTCAGAGTTGCACGCTTCCAGCTTTTACTTAAATCTTATCTCTCACTTGGTGGCCATTTTTCGCAGAGAAATACAGTTTTTATCAGTTCACTAGAATCCTTAAGAATTACAAGTCTAGTGAGATACTATCTCACCCCAACAAAGTTAGCATTAATCCAAAAAACACAAAATAATAAATGCCAGAGAGGTTGTGTAGAGACTGGAACACTTATACACTGTTGGTGGGAATGTAAAATGGTACAACCACTTTGGAACTCGATTTGGCGCTCCTTAAAAAGCTAGAAATAGAAGTACCATACAGTCCAGCAATCCCACTCCTTGGAATATATCCTAGAGAAATAAGAGCCATCACACGAATGAGATATATGCACACCCATGTTCATTGCAGCACTGTTCACAATAGCAAAAAGATGGACACAACCTCGGTGCCCATCAACGGATGAATGGATAAACAAATTATGGTATATTCACACAATGGAATACTACGCGATGATAAAGAACAACGATGAATCCGTGTAACATTTTATAACATGGAGCAATCTGGAGGGCATTATGCTGAGTGAATTTATTCAGTCACAGAAGGACAAATATTGTATAAGACCACTATTATAAGAACTCAAGAAAAGGTTTGAACACAGAAGAAAACATTCTTTGATGGTTATGAGGGTGGGGAGGGCGGGTGAGGGTTGTTCACTAACTAGATAGTAGACAAGAATTATCTTAGGTGAAGGAAAGCACAGCACACACTACAGGGGAAGTCAGCACAACTGGACTAAACCAAAGCTAAGAAGTTTCCTAAATACAATCAAACACTTTGAGGGACAGAGTAGCAGGGGTGGGGGTGTGGGGACCATGGTTTCAGGGGACATCTAGGTCAATTAGCATAGCAAAGTTTATTAAGAAAATGTTCCGCATCTGACGTTGGTGAATGGCGTCTGGAGTCTTAAAAGCTTGCAAGCGGCCGTCTAAGATGCATCAGTTGGTCCCAACCACCTGGAGTAAAGGAGAATGAAGAACACCAAAGACACAAGGAAAGTATTAGCCCAAGAAACAGAAAGGGCCACATAAATCAGAGACTTCATCAGCCTGAGACCAGAAGAACCAGATGGTGCCCGGCTACCACCAATGACCGCCCTGACAGGGAACACCAACAGAGAGTCCTGTATGGAACAGGAGAAAGGTGGGGTGCAGAACTCAAATTCTAGTAAAAAGACCAGACTTAATGGTCTGACTGAGACTGGAAGAACCCCAGAAAGCATGGCCCCCGGATTCTCTATTAGCCCAGAACTAAAACCATTCCTGAGGCCAACTCTTCAGACAAAGATTGGACTGTACTGTGGGACATCAAATGATACCTTTGAAGAGTATGCGTCTTAGCTCAAGTAGATACATGAGATTAAATGGACAGCTCCTGTCCGGAGATGAGATGGGAAGGCAGAGAGGGTCAGGAGCTGGTTGAATGGACGCGGGAAATCCGGAGTGGAAAGGAGGAGTGTGCTGTCACAGTATAGAGAGAGCAACTAGGGTCACATAACAATGTATGTATAAATTTTTGTATAAGAGACTAACTTGAAATGTAAACTTTCACTTAACAACAATAAACCAAAAAAAAAAAGAATTTACAAGTCTAGATCAGCTAAACCAGTTTGCTGCATTCCTGGGCTCATGGTTTAGTACTGAATATTGATTCCCCACCCTGCTCCAACAATGACTGTGAAAATGCCTCACAAAAATGCAACAGGCTCCAAACAGTAGTTTAGCTTAACTAGTAAAGAATGTCTGCCTTGAGCATTGTGCTTTTTAAAGAACTATCTGTATGGGATCAAACTGACGATAGCTCGAAAGGTTAGATAGAAAGCTTAGGGGGCAGTGAGATTATGTCATTGGAGGAGGAACAATTTGGAGAAGGAGGGTGAGAATGGTTGCACTACTTGAAGAATGTAATTAATGTCACTGAACTGTACATGTAGAAACTGTTGAATTGGTGTATGTTCTGCTGTGTATATTCTCTACAACAACTAAAAGTAAAATAAATTTAAAAAAATATGCAACAGGTTTTCTCATGAGTTCAGTGTCTTAGTTTCTGCCACACAAACCAGGCCCCAATAAAGTACAGATCATGACAAAACATGGATATTGGGGTCTTTAGTCAGGGTTGAAAGTGCAAGCGTTGAACCCAGGAATCCCTCTCTTCACCCACTCTCTGGGCCCTGCAATTACCCTTCTTTAAAATGTGCTCGTTCTTTGTCAGTATTACTTCTAAAGGGCCAGATGACAATCGTGGCTAATGCTTATCGATCACTTAGGACTTGCCCCGCCCCATGCAAGTGTATTCCATGCACAGTCTCACCTGCTCCACCAGCCTCCTTCCAAGGGTAGGTCCTTGTACTTTCTCAGTGAACAAATGAGGTTAAGGAAGGGCTTAGCTAGACTGGATTTCTTCCTTTCCTGTGAACTTGGCAAAAATCACAGGACATATCCAACCCTCAGGCTCTTATCTTCTTGAGAAACATGCATTTGGCAAAGTCCTTTCGTGTGTCCTGTCTTCGCAGTGCATGGACTTGTTCGGCAGCAGGGTGTGGTAGAAGGAGTGAAACCTTTGAGTCAAATCTTGGCCTTCTTGCTCGTTAAATTAACTAGCTGAGGGACCTGGAGCAGATCACTTGGTGTCTCCCTATTTCCTCATCTCTAAAGGGGGCAGGGGGTTAACACTGACCCTCCCAGATGAACATGAATGGTGCGTAGGGTGTAGTTGATTCAGAATATGGGTCCCCCCGCCCCCCGGTTGATTTTCCTTCTTGCAGTTTGAATGTATCTAATGTGCCCTTTTGCTCTCTCTCCCAGGAGAAGGAGAAAGCACATGAAGGAGCAAGACCCATGAGAGCCATCTTTCTGGCTGACGGGAATGTCTTCACCACTGGTTTCAGCCGCATGAGCGAGCGGCAGCTGGCTCTCTGGAATCCGGTACGCCCCTACCAGCCTTTCTGCATGTTTGCCACTTGAGCTTTCTCTATTCTGAGTGGGTTTTAGGGTTGGTAAGTGGATTATAAGGAGCCATGATGGTGCTGCTAATCGGAAGGTCGGCGGTTCAAACCCACCATTCACTCTGCAGCAGTCTGCTTCTGTAAAGATTTAAAAACAAACAAACCTGTTGGCCGTCGATTTGATTGCAACTCATAGCGATCCTATAGGACAAAGTAGAGCTGCCTCATGGGGTTTCCAAGGCTGTAATCTTTACAGAAGCAGACTGCCACATCTTTCCCTAGTGAGGGACAGTGGGTTTGGTTTTTTTGTTTTTTGTTTTAGTAGTGAATCACAGGATTCTTAGTGTAGTTTTCTGAACTTTTGTTGTCATAAATTGGATGTCAAGTTCTCATCCTCCCTGGAGGCTTACTGGTAAATGTATTTCCAAAATGCAGTTCTGGGGCTTCCAGGGAGTCTTTTTAAAAAGAATGCACAAAGAATCCAATGTTTTAGACTTGGGAAATGAGTTTTAAACTTACTTATGTTTTATAAAGAATATGATCAGATGTCTAAATCAAACTAGTCAAGCTTGGGAAAATGTTCATAACAGCATAAGTGGAAAAAAATGCTAAACTATATGTATGGTATGATCCCCATTTGTGTGTATGTGTGTTGGAAGAAAATAGACCAAAATGGTTGTAGTGCTTTTATCCGGATTGTAGGAATATGGAATATGGGATAATCTTATTTTCTTCTTTATATCTTTTACATTTTTAGAAGTTTCTACCATGAACATATATTTATTTTATAATACAGAAAAAGTACTTTTAAAAAAGAAAATAGTTGCAAAGAAGGGCTCTCTCATCTGTTTCACAGCATCACACTGATGTAGCCATTCACTCTGTTGTCAAGTCAACATTTTCAGTGGGCTGGGTTCCATTTAGGATCCCCGTTAGTCTTTACATGTGTGAATATTATACATGCGTTGTTCAGACTTTCATGATTTAAATGAGAGGTCTAGGAATATGGCGAAGTGAAGCATAAAAGAATGTATAATAAGGTTATAAAAATTCATCTTTAAAAAAGTATATATATATATATATTGTTTCTTTCCAGAAAAATATGCAAGAACCGATTGCTCTTCATGAAATGGACACCAGCAATGGGGTGTTGCTGCCTTTCTATGACCCTGACACAAGTATCATTTACTTATGTGGAAAGGTAAAGAGTCATTTTTATATATATTTAACTTAATCCTCTAAGAGGAGAAGTTTATCCTTCAGAGATTTAGAAGATGGCCAATGTATTTTATCATTTTAATGTTTTAATTTGTCCAATTCGTACGTGCGTGTGTGTGTTGAGCTAAGATAAGGACAGATAATTTTGGTGTGTTGTAGGTCCTGAGACCGGAACTTTTGTGACTTGGCAGTTGGGCAGTAATAGCATGCTGTGTTCAGCGCTTCTGACTGAGGCAGGACTGGATGGGGCCGTTGGGAAATGGTGGTGGGGAAACCGGCACTTGGGGTGCTCTACTGGGAGAAAGAGAACTTGCGATGGTTTGTTTTCACCTAGTGTGCTAGAGGTTGGTGACTTTAGATTTTCACTGTCCCTTATTGGTATCAGAGATGGGCAATCCGTTTGCCACATCTAATGCTGAAACCTGTTGGGTTGCCTAGATTAGCATTTATGTTCTAATTACCACATGGCATGGACTGGTGACGAGACTAACACTTTGTGGTTGTGACATTTGAGGGCCTCAGAGAGCCTCCAGTGGGTTCTTGTTCATGGAGTTCAGTGTTAGGAGCCTGGGCCTGAAAATATGTGGTCTGACTAGAATTTTAGGGGATGATAGCTGTCGCAGGAGGACTCCATGCTGGATTCAGAAACCATTTCTCACTCTTTACGATCTCCACCTAACTAAACTGTTGGTATTTTGATGATGATGATGATGATGATGATGATAATGATTTCAGTTTAGTAAGTGGTAACTTCAATTCCATAATCTTTTGTAGCTTCAGTTTTCCTTAGCATTTTGTATAGGGGAAAGTTTAGCTCAGCTAGTTAAGAATGCTCACCTTGAACAGCGTGCTCTTTAAAAGAATTATCTGTATGAGATCAAATTGACAACACTAAGTCTCAAACACAGAGAAGTTTAGGGGACAAAGAGTCTAAGTTAATGGTGGTGAAACAATATGGGTAGGGAGATAGTGAGAATGGTGACACCATGCAAGGAATGTAACCAATGTCACTGAACTGTACGTGTAGCAGAATGGTGAATGGCTGTATGTTTTGTGATGTATATTTTCACCAACAAATTTTTTTTTAATTTCAGCCTCCACTTGTTCACTGCTCGTATGTATATAGAATACAATTGATATATATATTCTTTTTTATATTGACCTTTTATCCTACTACCTAGCTAATAAACTCATGGTTCTTGTAGGTTTGTTTTTTGTTTTTTGTTTTTTCCTTTTCTTTTCTAAATAGACTGTTTAGGATTTTTTCACGTAGAAAATCACATCCTCTGCAAAAAAAAAAAAAACCAAACTTGTTGCCATCAAGTTGATTTTGATTCATGGCGACCCTGTAGGACAGAGTAGAACTGCCCCATAGGGTTTCCAAGGAGTGGCTGGTGGATCCGAACTGCCGACCTTCGGGTTAGCAGCCAAGCTCTTACCCACTGCGCCACCAGGACTCCCTGCAAATAAAGACTGTATTTATTTTTTCTTTCTAAAAAATGGAGCTGTTGCTATATTTTCTGCAAACCTGTTAGAGAGCCCCTTGCTGGATGAAATGTTAATATTAATGTGAAATGGCAGTTTGTGTGGTTTTTACTTGTGTGGAGTGAGCATGCTGTGGGGCCTGCTTTACCTGTTCATAGGTCAGTTACTTGGAAACTGAGATCTTGTCTGTTTCCGGGCACGTCACTTTATGGCAGGTGTTAACATCTGTGAAGGACACCTGCCTCAATGTTGCTGCCATAGACTGCATCAGAACGAAGAAGGAGTGGGTTACCCAGATGGTAGTAACATCAGGTGGAAAATGATTTTGGGTGTGCAGAAAATGAAGAGGATGTCTAGCTTCTTTTCCATTTCTTTAGACATTTAAATCTTGGGAAGGATATATGTCATTTTCTTTCTTATACATATATTTCCTCCACCAGACAGGGTTGCTGTTACCGTTCCGGTTGGTATAACCATCTCATAATTATTTACACTTTGAGAGACTAGCATATGCTTCAGATTTCCAAAAATACCTGACCATCCTAAGCAAGATAATCATAGAATTTTATAGACTGCAATGAGATAATATTACCTTTTGAAGTTAAACGATACTCAATAAAAATTCTTAATTAGAAAAAAAACTCACTGTTATTATCTGATTGTCTGGCGTTAGTGCCCCTTGTGTCTTTGAATGGCACTGCACTATGCCAACGAATGAATACTTAAAAATCACGCACTGTACTCTCAGTGATCCTTGTAGTTTTTTTTTTTTTTTTGGGAAGTTGAATTGTAATGCAGTTGTTTGGCAGTGGCACTAACATTTTTCCTTGACTATAGCCTGGTGTCTGGACTCAGCGGAGTAAAATTGGAACTTCAGGAGGAGGCAGAGGGAGCCCATCATTTACAGGGCATGCTTTCACTGATGAGTGAGGGTTTGTTCTGCAAGGAAGAGAAGCAGTCATATACCTTAGGCACGCCTCTTGATAAGGCAGAAAAAGTCAGCCGCTGTGGAGGGTCCCAAATAATGCTGGATTTACAGGGGAGAAAGACACCAACTTAAACCAGATGCTTCTGTTAACATTAAGCACAGAACGTGTCTCCGCTCTCTTGTAGGGCGACAGCAGTATCCGCTACTTCGAGATCACGGATGAATCCCCATATGTCCACTACCTCAACACATTCAGCAGCAAAGAGCCTCAGAGAGGGATGGGGTACATGCCCAAGAGGGGGCTCGATGTGAACAAATGTGAGATTGCCAGGTAAAGAATTGTATTCTGCCTTATTCAAATTGTTTATATCATCCATGTAATATGAAAGTCAAGTCTTTCCACCCTTGTATGTGGTATAGAATTAATATCTCCTTTCTTGCCCATATTTAGAAACATAGACTTTTAGAGCCGGAAGGAACCCTTCAAAATCATTTAATCCAACTATGTCCCTCTTCATTATTCAGACTACATAACTCAAGTGCAGAGGTTAAGAGACTTAGCCAAGGTACATCTCTCACTTATTTAAATATTGAAACCTTCATGTTTTGTCTTCATGCTGAGCCTGTGGCCAGTGTACCCTGGAAGACAAGCAGTGAGTGGATAGACTGCCCCTCATTCAGAAATGAGGGGTTGTTTCCTACCTGCAGGGGAAAGAACCAGGTTCTAAATTGGATTCTGGACCCCAACGATTCTAACCTAGACAAGTCAAGGGCAACAACAGGGTGTTACTTATGTTCATTTAGGAACCCGTCTTTGGAGCCCGCAGTGGCACAGTGGTTAAGAGCACGGGTGCTAACGAAAAGGTCTGCAGTTCGAATCCACTGGCCGCTCCTTGGAAATCTTATGGGACAGTTCTACTCTGTCCTTTGGGGTCACTATGAGTTGGAATAGACTTGACGGCAACAGATTTTGGGTTTTTCCGAGGCCCCGGATGAGATGCTGCCCTCAATGAAGAATATCGAGCAGCACGCAGAGCCATCTAATGGGCAAGTCTGACCACCAAGAGGAAAAGCACAGAGCAGTGTGCAGACAATTGAGTTTTGAAACTGGGAAGGAGGGCCTGGCAGGCTGCGTCTGGTCAGAAGACCCCTTTCAGATTTGATTGATAGGCTGTGAAATAGTGTTACCTCTGGCAGTTTTTATTTTCCATCAGAACATTTTTAATTTTCTTTTTTTTTAAATCGCACAGGTAGCTCATGATCATTAAAAAAAATTTAAACATCCCAAAAGTAGGAAGTGAAAGTTCTCATTTCTCTCTCTTACTTACCCCCAATCTCACTTCATTTCATGGGGATAACCACTTTGAACACTTTGGTGCATATCCTGCCAGAACTATTTCTGTGCAAGTGCAGACAGAGACATTTATAAAATTATATATCATTTCATATGGTACATTTTTTTTCCCATACAAAAATTTATACGTACATTGTTATGTGACTTTAATTGCTCTCCCCATACTGTGACAGCACACTCCTCCTTTCCACCCCTGGTTCCCCATGTCCATCCAGCCAGCTCTTAACCCTCTCTGCCTTCCCATCTCACCTCTGGACAGAAGCTGCCCATTTAGGCTCTTGTATTTACTTGAGCTAAGAGGCACACTCCTCACGAGTATCACTTTACGTCCCACAGTTCAGTCCAGTCCCTGTCTGAAGAGTTGGCCTCGAAAATTGTTTTAGTTCTGGACTGATAGAGAATCCGGGGGCCATGCTTTCCAGGGTCCCTCCAGTCTCAGTCAGACCATTAAGTCTGGTCTTCTTACTAGAATTTGAGTTCTGCACCCCACCTTTCTCCTGCTCCATCTGGGACTCTCTCATTCT